TCCATTCCAAACCCAAAAAGGTAAGACCATTTTTGACGTCTTTAACAAGAGAAATGCTCAAGTTTAACAAACTTAAGAAAATCAAGTCGATAGATTGTTGAGGTGTTTCTTTATAACACTTCTTCATTTTTTCCCCGTTGTTTGAAAATTGACACTTAAAGGTACTGAGTCAGCTCAGGACCCTAAAAGGTACGCGAGGGTTTTATTTTCRACCCTAAAAGGTCCGTCGAGCATACCTACCAACTTTTATAAGGGAGTCMCATACATGTCTATTGCAAGCATGGATGACACGTGATATGTTGTATGTTTCTGACAGGTATGGACGGCATTGATGGACTTTTGAGAATCATAGAAGAATTGCCTCCAACAAACCAGTCAGTCATTAGATACTTCATGAGCCATTTGTTTAAGTAAGACACTAGACAGGATTAATTTTGTACAAAGATCGATGTCAAATCCTGACACTCATTTATAAGTTATTATGATTTTTTTAGTCCTGGGTACATTCGTGATTTTCTTTTAGGGGGCTAGATACAGTACCATACAAATGCTAAGAACAAGAACAACTAAGTCGAAGAAGGCATCCAAGGGTGGTGCACGATGTCGGGGGAGGGGGGGCGCAACCACCAGCAGAACCCACATGATGTCACACATACGTGCATGCATCTTTTTTCTTTACAGTCCACTGTACATTACGGTACATGTGTAGCTTACTCTGTCATTTATTGTCACAACCACGCATTGGGAGCAATGTGTATCTTGATAGGACACAATGATACATTCATACCCTATTCTTTACTGTCATCACAACAAAATTGCGCACGATTTTGAGTTGTATGACCTCTTAACTTAAGAAAAACCGATTGAGACGGAACGATTGTCGCGTACGATTTGTATTATACGACTCGAATGAGCTCCAAATCGCGCAGTGTAAATGCCCCTACTACTTGCCTACAACAGTCGCACCAACCTATGACTTGTAGTAGGATTTTGGACCACGGCTTAAAATCCAACGACTTATCGTAGGAAAATCGTATACTACAAGTCGTACGCGACAATCGTACCATGTAAATACGACATTATTGACACGCTCTTGACATCATAAAATGTTCAAAACTAAATTGAAGTGGACGCACGAGCGCAGCGAGAAAAACCCTGTTCAATTCGTTTTTTTAACCACTTTTAAATCTAAAAATTAGCGAAAATTATTCCTTTCTTTCAATTGAGCGTGCGCGCGAGACGTGCTGATGTCAGCACAGTGTACATGTCCTCTTATTGACACACTCTTATCAGCCAATCAGCGCGCGAGAATTTTCACAATTGTGGTAAAATACTAATCGATGTATTCTTACCATAGAGTATCTCAACACCAGCAGTATAATTCCATGACGTCACTAGGTCTGGCAAGAGTGTTTGCACACGTATTGATGCGGCCTTGCAAACAAGACAAGCTGTAAGTGATCGTCTGRCAAGATAGATTGTTTGTTTTTATACGTTCATTTAACCTCCTCCGTCGACAACACTTTCATTTTGCCCTTTTGGGATTCCTCTGGTATTCTCTTGGCCGAATGGGGACCTTGAGCCCGCTTAGAAATGAAGGCGGCAGGCGTCTTTTTCGGGGTGACCTACGTAGCACGCAGTTGATGTAATGTATTCATAAAATGTATTGTATTCCATTGTTTCTCGTTCTATTGTATTATGTGTTTTTTATTGTTATATCTTTATGAATATATTGCATCAACTGAGTGCTACGTAGATTCTCCCGTCATTTTTCTGTCGGGTCACAGTCTCTCTCGGACATGGTATGGAAGACAGGAAGCCCAAAAGTACCAAGAAAAGGGATGATGAGGCTAGGTTTATTTATTCATCCATTGTGCACCTTTCTGCAGTCAAAACAATCTTTATAGAAGTATTTATCGTTTGAAAATGGACTATTTTTACGCATTAAAGTATAGTGACGGTTATCGGTAGTCACTTTTTATGTCGTTTTCAAAGACTTGGCGGTATAATAAAAGGACTTGATGCTTAGCAGGCATCATTTACTAACTTTTGTTTGTCTTTGAAAATAAAAATACACTGTAAAACCGACGGATTGAAACGGATTGCGAATGGATATTTGAAGTCATCTCATTTTCCATACATAAAAAATCTAAAACACGGCCGCACTGATGGCCTTTAAGACACAGGTAGTCCAGACTTGTATATTGTGGCATAGCTCATATTGAGCAAAACGATGCTGAGCATTTATTACTGTTAAAATCTTGTAAATGACAGTTGAACTAATACCTTTATTCTTATGTTTTTTTTTTCAGGAAAATGGCCATAAACCACGAGGTACAAATCAAAGCTCTTGATATATTAATAAGCCAAGGACCATGGTCGAKACACCAAGTCCCGAATGATGAACCAACGGAACCTCAACCTCCTCCAGGTATCAATATGTAGACAGCTTTATTCCATTATAGTGACTCTGTAATATTTCATGGTGCTGTTAATGGCCAAAGTGCTAMAAATATTGTAGATTTCTTTGCCTTAATAAACAAACAAGTTATTATAGTACCCAGTCCTTCACGGTTGCCGTGCCATCGAAGCGAGACGATCCTTGGGTGTGCTACAGGGCTCGAAATAAGGGGAGGTCAAAGGACAATGCCCTTCCAAATTTGCTACATGTCCTGTCAAGGAATTTGAAAGGGCATTTTTACCAGGCCTACGTTTAAAAATTAATCATGACCTTCCAAAACAAGTGTTTGGAACAACATTGTGTCCTGCGTAGGTCCAGACGTCATTTCGATCCTTGTGCAATGATGGACGTACGTTTTTAAAATAATTTTCTATTGAGTTAACAAAGGTTTCCAGCACTGCTTTCTCACCAGTCGCTTCAAGATGCTGGAGGGAACCATGAAGGAGACTATTATTCTAAAATTTCATGTATGTTCTTTAGTTCCTGTTCGACCTCGCCGACCGTCAAGAAGCGCTCCACGACCTCCTTCCCATCATGCAGCACCGGCACCTCCATCATCACCTGGTTTCAGTCCTCCATCGAACATGAGAGAACAAGTATGGTACTGGGGAGAGACTAGCAAGTAAGGCATTGYACTGAACCATCTCTGATCTTATACCACTGCTACAATAAGGATTTGCAGATTATATTGTTTATCGGATGTTAACGGAATTAAGTTAAACTGGACCTCCTTAATCCGGTCATTAAAGGGACATCGGATAGTGGACTTATTAACGGGGTGGCCGTGTTAACCGGTCAGATTAGTATGAAGGTTTAATTCGGATGGAGATAAAAATTTGGTCGTTATAACGGAGTGGACGTATTATGTGACTGGCCGTAAGGCAGGCTTCCACTGTGGTAGTAAAACCTCGACCATTTGTTGTTTTATGTAGAGAGGTCGTTAGTAAAACCTCGACCTTTTGTTGTTTTATGTAGAGAGGTCGTTCAAGAACGCATGAAGGAAGCACCAGATGGTACATTCATAGTCAGAGATTCAAAACGAAACCCAGGCGAATACACACTGACACTAAGGTATCTATAGTCAATGTTAAGCTAATACTCCAGTTTCGCAAAAGACAATTTGAAAGTGGAGTATTTTCCCTGGGATATTTTCCATTGAAGCTAAGCTTTCGCAAAAGACAATTTGAAACTGGAGTACTTTCCCTGGGACATATTCCTTTCGCAAAAACAATTTGAAATTGGAGTATTTTCCCTGGGATATATCCCATTGAAGCTAATCTTTCGCAAAAGACCATTTGAAACTGGCTGGAGTATTTTCCCTGGGATATATTCCATTGAAGCTAAGCTGTTCTTTCCAGTTCTTTCCAGGCAGGGTGGTATTTCTAAGCTCTTTACTTTCCTTTCCAGGAAGGGTGGTCTACCAGTATTTCTAAGTTCTTTACTTTCATTTCCAGGAAGGGTGGTCTTAGTAAGCTGATTCGAATCATATACCAGAACGGCAAGTACGGCTTCTCTGAGCCGTTAACCTTTGAATCAGTCAGTGAACTGATAGATTTCTATCGTGATCGGTCATTGGCCCAATATAATCCTAAGCTAGATGTCAAACTTACACACCCATTGCCTTTATATGAACGGGTAAGTACTTGGATGACGGCA